GGCCCCTGGCCCTACTGCCCCGCCGGCCTTCGCCTCACTCTTCCCCCCGGGACTGCACGCCATCTACGGAGAGTGCCGCCGCCTTTACCCTGACCAGCCGAATCCACTCCAGGTTACGGCTATCGTCAAGTACTGGTATGCCCTGGGCCGCGAGGAGACCGACGCGGCGGGCTGGGAAGAGTTTAAGCACCCGGGGCGAAGTATTTTGCAGGAGAGGAGGAGGAAAAGGAGAATGGTTAAAGCACTCGAAAGGAGGGCTTCCTGCTGCGAGGGAAGGAGTTAAGGCTCAAGTTGGGAATGGGGACAAAGGGGTTAACGAAGACTGTGGGTAGCGAAGGGTTAAGGAGGGTTGGGAGGTTGAAGGGTTAACTGGGATTAAGAGAATCGAGTGAATTGGGATCGATAGGAGCGGGGGAACTGTGAACGTGGTGAAAGGAGGGGGCGCCTGTAGGGGGTCATTAGTGGGCGAGGGGAAGCCAGGAGGGGGGTGCGGCTGAACTGGGACGGGGGAGGCGAGGCGGGGCTGGGGAGCGTTTTGAGAGGGCTTTGGAGGAGCGCGACTTGGAGGAGCTTGGAGGGCAAGAGACTGCACTGGGTAGAGGCGGGTCTGGGGACCCGGGCTCCGCTTTGGGTTAGGAGGGGAGCAAGTTGTGAGTGTTGCGCTTGTGAAGAGATGAGGGGATGGATCACCTTTTTGATACTTTCCTAAAGCACTCAGACATCATATCAGTGCAATGCTTTTGTGTTGGAAGTTTCACGAAACAACTTTTCCTGATAAACTTTCTGCTTACTCTGCACAGTTCTCTTCATGCAGAGCTTTCTCTAGTTTTGCAGCTGCTTTGCTTTAAGACATTGGCTAGAACAGAGGCAGGGTCAGGGAGATCCATGGGTTGGCTGAGGATTGAAGGGGACCACAGTAAATATTGAAGACCTGGGACTTGGACAGGGTGGAAAGAAGGCAGTGCAATGTTGAGGCGCTTCCTGGCCACAAGCTTCAGGATTTAGGCAGCAGTTCTCAGGGAAGCTGAGAGTAACCCTCAAGTATCTCTGTGAAGGATCAGACCTGTTTACAGATGGGCTGTCCCTGGGGTAGGAATGGTCTTTTCTAGTTTCCCATTCTTGTTTGCAACCTGTTTCATCCTGCAGCCTCTGGGCAAAACTGGTGTTACGGGGACTGTGGAAAAGAAAGAACCTATTTTCGTGGTCTTCCTGGACCAAAAGTTGACTGAGGAATTGGTTGAATCTGTCCAGAACCACTTTCTTGCAGGCACTGT